TAACAGTCGAAGTGATACAGGCTTTACTTTCGAAAAATGCGATACTTTCAAGATATTTTGTTCAACGTTTATTAATGCATTTTGGTAATTATGATGAGAATCTTATTAAACTTAAAGTCGAACATAATGTAAACCAAATCGATTTTGATAGACTTCGTGCCCTTCGTAAGAAACTATCTTCGCCTTGGGGAAGTAATATTAATTTAAGTATTTTTACCAAACTTATTACTGAGGGATATATCAATTTAAATGATAACGAACTTGCAACTAAAGGGAATGATATGGAGCTATTTCATTTCTTATCAGCTGGTCCTCTTGTTATTAATCACGCACCCGACAAACTTCGTCAAAATCTTAATCTAATTAGAGATCTAATTTTGAAAAAAAGATTTGTTCCCTTTCCACCTCGTCCAAAACCTAAATATAAAGATACAGTAAAATACATTCAATCGATACAAGCCAGAGCTCATGAAGAATATCCACCAAAAGATGGTTATGAGAATAGTCGTCAACTTAATGTAGTGGCTAGAGCAATATTAATTCAACCTGATTTAGTAAACTTGTGGAAGGAAATTGGTTATCTTGAGATTTGCACCGACGTTAATGAACTTGTAATGCAGGGCGCCTTGTTGATATTTTTTCCTCCTACCCCGCCAAATAATTGGGTATGTCCTGATGTGCGTACTATTGTTGGTCGTTTAAAACATCTTATTGATCTGGGATTTCAATTAACCGATAGCGTTATAGAAGAAGCATTACATTTGTTTGAACATAGGTTAAATGAAATAGGTGATCTCTTAATGGATTCATTCCAAGTGATTCAAAATTCTCGAGTGATTCAAAATTCATCTCAAGTAAATCGTAATATAACAAAATCTGAGATTGCAAGTTCCTGTCTTATTCAGACAATTAAACCTGAAAGGAATTTCAAGAAAACGGATTTATTGGAATTTATAATTGACAAAATTGACCAACCTATCGAAGCTCTGGGAAATGCATTAGATCACTATAATGTTGGATTCAAATTTAATTATGAGACTATTCAATCAACGCAGAAAATTAGATCGTTAACTGTTAACTCCAATCTTTATTTTTGGATTCTGAAAAATTATGGTCCTAATTCTGAATTAACGCAGAAATGCTTTGATGACATTTTCGAATCGAGAATTTGGGTGGACTTAAACTTAACTCCAGAAAAAGAAGTTCCGGATGGACTGACCACCGGCGCCTTTAATTCTATTTGCTCAATTTATCTCGAGTTCATGAATGAAAAGGTTCCATTTAAAAACGGTTATTTGCAATATTTACAATTGGCGAAAAATCATGAAATAATCCACCCATTTTTTGAATACAATTTACCAATTATATTTGGCATAAACAAGAACCCGTATCATTTTAAAAATTTATATGAAGTTGTTAGGCCAGAAATTAAATCAAACAAAGCTAATAAGAGAAAATCTAATGAAGTAAATTTAGAGCAAAATCATAATGAAAGGAAAAATTGGTTTAAATTACTTGAAGAAATATATTATCACAAACTTCATACAAATAATTCCAATATTACTGAAAATTTTAAAGAAAGTTTTGAAAATTTTTGGGATATGATTACATTGGAAAAAATCCCAGAATTAAAATATTTAAGTGATAATCTTAATAGAAATAATGAAAATTTATCTCAACAAGTTTTTGAAGGTTTTTCAAAAAAACAAAAGCAATAAAATAGAGTAAAGATATTAACTGTATACAATTAAAATGCATTTGGGTAAGTTATTTAAAATAAATTTAATTTAATTAATAATATATATTAAATCATTATTAATCAAAATCTTTTTAGTATATATTTTTAAATAATAAGATGTAATAAATATTATATAATAGATGGGATATAGGTATTGTAATTTAAATAATAATTTATATTTTAATTAATTTTTATATAATACTAATTGATAAATTTTAAAGTAGATTTTAAATTATTATTTATTTTTTTTTTAAAAAATAAAAAAAAAAAATGTATATTAAATAAATTGAATATAAATATTAACAAAATCAAAAAACCTTATAAAATATTAAAGGTATATTTATGTTTTTCATATTCTTTTATATAATTAAGATATTTAAAAATTATGATAACTTTTATTTATTATTTTTGTATTTATATATGTTTAAATTATATCTTATTATTTATTATATGAAATGCATTTTATTAAAAAAAAAAAAAAAAAAAAAAAAAAAAAAAAAAAAAAAAAAAAAAAAAAACAAAAAAAAAAATTTTTTTCTTTCTTTCTTTTTATATTTTATTTTTATTTATTTGTTCTTTCTTAAGTAGTTACAATTGATTTTTTTTTTTGAAACAAATATTTTTTTTTTTTCTTTTAAATTTTTACAAATGAATGATAAAATTTTAAAATTTTAAATAAAATAAGTTCTTTAATTAAATTTTTATTTGATATAATATAAATATTAAATATAAATATAAAATTTAAAAATAGAAACATAATTTTATATAAATTAAATTATATTTATTATTAAATCAATTTAATTAAATAATAGTAATTTATTTATTAAAAAGAAAGAGAAAAAGAAATTATAATATAAAATTTTAAATATATAATATAAAATTATTAAAAATATTTCTAATTAAAAAATTATTATATATTTTTATTATATTTATTATAATAGCTAATTTAAAACTAATTTTAACAAATAAATGATAGTCAATTAATAACTAATTTTATATTTAATAAGTAAAGTTGCTGGAGAAACTAGAGGATTTTTCTACTTGAAGAAATGTTAAAATGTTAAAACTTTACTAAAACTATCTTAAATCTTATAATTACTTATGTTAAAATTATGATAAAATACTTAAATAATAAAACTATTATAGTAAATACCAAAACTAAAAAACCTATATTAAACTCTTATTAAAATTTTACTAAAACTAATCATAAAATTTTGAAAAAGTTTAAATAAGCATTCTTATTAATAAGTATATTTTATAAATCTTTTGTTGATACTTTAAAATATGATTAAGTTTTTTAAATTTCTTTTATTTATTAAGCAAATTTATTTAAAAGTATTTAACTGTATTATTTTTATATATTTTATTTTAAAAAAATTATAAATATGTATTATAGTCTGATGCAAAAAGGTTGATATACCTATATGTCTATAATAAAAAAAAATTTTTTTAAAATTAATATAAATGTTTAAATTATTTAATTTATAGTTTAGGTTTTAAGATATATTCAATATAAATTTTATTAAAATTTTAAAGTATACAAAAAATTTTACTAGTCATCAATTTCTTTGATTTCAAAATCTTCATAATTACTTTCAACTAACAATATATCATTACCTATATCTCAATATTCTATAGCTTTATTAAGACATTTATTCTAAAATCTAACAATAACTTTAGAGTTAATATCTTCTTTAAAAGCATATAATAATTTGTCTCTAATAGCAAGAAGATTAGAATCTAGAACCACACCTTTTATAATTGATCAAATTTCCTCAATTAGTTGAAGTTCAAATGGTAAGATGAGGTATAAAACAAATTATGCCCATAATTTTTGGCTATTTGAATACATATAAAAGGTATATTAGGTTTATTTTGTTTCACTAAATTTATATAATACTGCTTTGCTAGGGTTTTTCAAAATGTCAATGCTTGTCAATAATATGTGATCATTATATCCTTTTTTGAGTTTGATATCAGTACTTTTTCAATTTGATGATTGTAATACCTAGCACTATTCATGTAAATATTAGCTGATCCATAAAGTTCCTTAATATTAGCATAAAGTTTATCAAAAAGATCTTCAAACATTTCAGCTGTAAAATTGCCATGATAATTTACATTATCTACTATAATGCTGGAATTTTGAATAACATTAGGAATATTATTTCAACCTTTAGCATTTTTTCACTTTCTTCCTCTAAATAAAAGTAGTTTAATAAATAAGTCCTATAATAAAACTGAATTAGGAATAATTTCACCAAAAACTTTATTAGTGTTACTATTACGCATTACAATGATCATACTAATAATAATAATTAAAGGTCTGTGCTTAACTTCATATATAATTTCATGATTTGGTACTCAAGTATAATCTGTAGTATAATATAAATAACAATAAGACTCATTTAAAAATACTTCTAGCTTAGTTAGAACCTTATTTCTACCTTGTAAATTTTCATATTGACGTTGTAAATAAATATTACAAAATGCAACATTTTCTGGTGATTTATGTAACATATTTCGATGTTCATCACAATCATAATAGTACTCAACCTATGAAGTAAATGAAGAAGTTGTCATTTTGAAATTAAATGTCCATTTTCTTCAAGTTTTTTTCTTAAAATATGTGTTGAAAGTTGAACATCAGAAAGATTTGATGATATGATAAGACTTTGAATAAGTTCAACAAGATTATGATTAAGCTTATTTTTTAGCTAACCAATTTTTTTGATAAGGATTCAGTTTCGCTTTTATTATATTCAGCAACTATTCATGCAACTGTTGCTTCTCCAATACTAAGGATCGCAGCTACCTTCTTGTATAATGATAATTCATAATACTATTTCTGGCATTGTCAGATACCTAAAAAATTTTTGGTGAATACGAAATATCATTGTTTTTCATTGCTAGTTAAAAAGTTTCGATCTCATTTCAAATCATCCATAGGAAAATAAAGTAATAAAGTTTTGTTAAACTTTTAAAGTTAGAAACTGCTATAATCATATTTATAAGTTGTATTTCCATATGACTTAATTATCAAATCTTGTATCATAAGAGAAATTTGTGTGATGATATTAGTGTATCAATCTTTTTATATTAGACCATATTATGAAATTAAATTATAAAAGACTTTTACATATAAGTATAAATTTAATGATTATTTTAAATAATGATTAGTTAATTTTTAACTGATTAATTAATTAATGAAAATAATTAAATTTAATTCTTATTAAAATTTAATTTTAATCAGAATTAAAATTTTTGTGATTTACAATAAATTTTTTTGTTTAAATTTATTAATAAATTTAATTGATTAAGATTAATTATTAGTTAAAAAAATTTAACTATTTATTATATTTATCAACAAAAAGGATTTAAACTTTAATATTATAATCATTTAATTTAATAAAATAATAAAATATATAAAATAAAATAAAAATAAAAATATTAATATAAAAATATTAAAATTATATTAATTAATTAAAATTTATATTAAATCATAATTGATATATTTAATATAAAAAATTAAAGATTAATTATAGAAGGTTTATTATTAATATTTATATTTAAATTATATAATATACTATATCTTGTAATCTGATTTAATAGCAAATGATTTATATAGTTAAATATAAAAAATACTAAATATTTTGTTTTAATAAATTTAGTTAATTATATAATTATTAAATCGAATTTAATGATTATTATTAAATATTAGAAAATGAAAACCCTTATGAGTTCAAAGTATATGAAGTATATAAGCAAATATAATATTATGATATATCTAAATATCTAATTAATATTGATATAGTAAAATAAACAAAAATAACATATCATCATATCATCACAAATATATATCATCTTATGCTATGCTTTAGAAAATTATATATTTATATTAAATAAATGAATAATATTAAATATAATAAATAATATTATTTTCTTATATAATCTTCTATAATTTTATAAAAAAAATAATATTATTATTATAAAAAAAAGTATTTTATTAAAAATGTTTTTAGAAAAAATAATATAGATTAAAATATATTAAAAAAAACTTAAAAACTTATAAAAATATAATTCATATATAATATAAGTATAGTCCAGTGCAAAAAGATTTGTACACCACCAAAAAAAGAAAAGATTTATGCTAAAATAAATATCGTATCACTAAAATAAAGTGGGCTAAAAATTAAATATTTGTTAGAACATAACCAAACACATTTTTCTCACAAGTTTTTTTATTATGCCATGAATCTTCCTTTTTTAAAATGAAATGGTACACCACTGATGAATAACGAAAAATTGATGATAATTAATATTCACAATTACTTTACAAGAGATAAATCTATAAAAGAAAGCCTTCAGAAGCTACCATTATGCAAGTGGGTTGCTGAGATATTGGGTGTATCTAAAGGTACAATTGGAAGTGTTGTGTTAGATTGGAACAGCCATGATAATAATACATTTACACCACACAAAGTTATTGGATGACCTATATTAAAACCTGATAAAAATGTAGCTGAGCATTTGCGTATGAAGGTTCTAAGTGCTAATAAAGCAGATAAACACCTTTCCACACCTATTCTAAGATAATTTCTTTCTGAACAAGAATATACCATTTCTAAATGAAAGCTCCTTCAGATACTACATCACTTGGGATATTATTTTGACCAAGGAGAGTGAAGAAACATCCTTCACGAATCACCAAATAATGTTACATTCTGTTGCCATTATCATTGTTATAGGTTTGCTAATTTGGAAGGTAAAAATGATGTTCCATGCCATCCAGAGGTTTTCCTTGATGAGTCATATTACCATTTGCATCACACTTCGTAAAACACATAGGTTTCCCATCAAGGTGTTGTTTTATCAACTGGGCATGGACCGTTAGTAGTAATTTTTGGTGCAATTATAGTATTTCGAAATGGGTCTTCTAATAAATTGCATGGTGAACTTGTTCCAAACTCTGTTCATATT